CAACATGGATGGAACTGGAGAGCAGATAAATACCACACGATTTCACTCATTTGTGGAATATAAGGAACAACATAATCTGATGAACAAGGACTGATCCAGAGACGGAGAGGCATTGATTGGATTGTCGGGCTTTGGAGGGAGGGTGGGGGAGGGGAGGGTAAAGGGGAAAGAGCAACCAAAGGACTTACATGCAGGCATAGAGGCCTAACCAATGGACACGGACAACGGGGGGGTGGGGGTGGTGGTGGAGGGTGATGTGGGGACAGGGACACATATGTAATATCTTAATCAATAAAAAATATATTAAAAAAAAAGAAATATTAGATTCATTCCTTCCGTCCTTCCCAGTAAGGCACTGGGAAATGCCTAATTGTATTTTGAGTCTGTTAGAACTTCTGGTCAACCTGAAGGCTCTTTTTAGACTATGGGAGACCTAGGAAGATATGAACATGGAGAAATATTATTGCTTTGCTCATTTGCATGATTCAATGCTGCTCAAGGCAAGGTCGTTAGAGGAAACTTGCATCTTCTTTCTGTGGCATATGCGTGCCCCAGCTGCTATTCTCAGCTGCACCTCAGAGCAAGGTCTCTCATCAGGGTGCATTTAACCAGTTGAAAATGACTAATGCCCTGGGAGCTCCCATTGATTGCTTGTGGGTGTTCACATTTTCCTTTTCTTGTTTTAAATCTTCACCATGGATGTTTATTGGTTTTTAGGAAGATGAACTGGGAGAGAGGGAAACATCAATGTCAGAGTGAAACATTGATTGGTTGCCTCCTGCACTCACCTGGCCAAGGATTTAATCCACAATCTAGGTATGCACCCTGAGCAGGAACTGAACCCACAACCTTTTGGTGTACTGGATGACACCCAACCAACTGAGCACCTGGCCAGGGCATGGGTGTCCACATTTTCTGATTGGTATAAGCATCAGCTAATCCTTATCCACTTATTCATAGTGGTCCAGTAACATGTAAGGCAGTAACCGTTTTAGACTAAATCAAGATATCTTTCCCAACCATATAAATGACATTATTCCTTTCTCCTCTATTCTCTTCACTCTCCACCCCAAACAGACCAATGGTAGTACATTCAAGTCAAATGCCAAAATAATTGAGCTTCTGAAATGAATAAGTACAACAAAAGTAACAACAGTAACAGAAACTACTTGTGTTCCTTTGAAAACATATAATTATGGTGAGGAGGGAACTGCTATAACTTCAGTGAATATTTATATATATAAAAGAATACATGACCGTTACGACCGAAATGACCAGAATGACCGGCCAGTAGCTATGATGCACACTGATCCAGACCTTGCTGCTGGGGTCCTGATGGGCCCTGACAGTCCCGAATCTGGTTCACCTGCATCTTGGACCCAGACAGGAGGGAGGAGGGAGCCTGATTCCTCAGGTAATCAGCCATTGGTTAGCTTGCTGCTGGGGCCAACCTCCCTTGGTCCCTTCCCCTGGCAGGCGCCCCCCCTGCCAGTTGGCCCCAATCGCTGGCCAGGCCGAGGGACCCCACTTGTGCACAATTTCATGCACCAAGCCTCTAGTGTTTTTATAATGGCGTGAGTTGGGGATTGGCATATGGAGTCAGGTTTTTCTAGTAGGTTTATCACACTGAGATGATAACCATTACAAAGAGCTCTTTGCCAGGATGGGTTGACAAATGGATGACTCACCAAATTTCAGCTTTTACTATTGCAGACCTTGTCACTTATCAGTTTACTTTATCTAGTTGCCTTTAATTCAAATGCCTCCCCATTTGAATTTCTGTGGGCATGTCAGAAATGGACAATGCTAGAGAGGGACTTACTAGTAAAAAAGGAGGCAGATCATGGGGGATGGAGCAGGGATGGGGATTTCCATATAAAAGACTTTGCAAATCTGGGAGTAATTTATTGCTCAAACCTCCCACTCCCTTGATGGATTGTGTTGGCATTAATGTTATTGCAAAAATAAATATAAATAAAATAAATAAAAAAATAAATCCTTGTTTCTTAGGAAAAAATAGTGAGGGGAATATAGGACATTTCTTATAGCAGTGGGAAGGAAGAGAAGGGAAAAAAACACTTGGCAAGAATTCAGAGACAAAAATTATCTTTATTGAAATGGCATTGAATTAAAAATTCAAAGGAGACAGTGGAATTTTCTTTAGTAGATTAACAATAACAATAATAGTAACAATAAAAACAACAACAGAACAGCTTTTCCATCCAACAGCTGAGGCACCTGCATCATGCTGACCCTCCTCCCCTGGACTTGACTGGCAGCATGACCAGCCCCCCACCTGCCAGCCTCAGACTGTTATTGGGAGAGAGAGTATGTGCTTAAGTAAGAAATCAGGCCTCGCTGGAGACATTAAAGAAAGAGAAATGAAACTCACGCATCAGAAAAGGTGACTAAGTCATGTACCCGAAGACTATGGCTGTGTTCCTGGAGGAAGCTGGTCTGGAAACAGATTCTTCCATGCGTCGCAAGAAAGGAACTTCAGGGGCCCGCACAGGAGGATTTTCAGCGATGATGGCAAGATGTATTAGAGTGCCCGTGACAAGGCTTCCCACGCCCCCACACACTTCCCCAGTGGGTCCAGAAGCAGAGCTGGTCAGCCTTGTCCATCTGCTCCCAGAGACACCCCACCAGATGTCTCATCCACAACGAGGTGGTTCGGCTCCCTCTTGCTGGGGAAGAAGTCCAGCTTCCAGGGCTGCAGGCCCACACCGTGCCCACTGAGACCAGGAGGGCCAGGGCCAGAGCTGCCCGGCCATTGCCCCAGTACAGTCTCTGCCCCCGGGCAGCACTCGGCCTGTGCATCTGCAGGAAAGAGAGAGCCCTGGTCTTTGTGAAGCTCCCTTATAATCCCTTGGGTTTGGGAGAGAGCAGGTTTTCTTTTAAACTATCTGATCTTTCCTGGCTCTCCCTGGGTGTCATACCCTTATCCTATCTGACCTTCCCCCAGGTGCATCTCCTCCCCTTTATGAACTATCTTTGCCCTGATTGCTCATGCACTCGGTAGAACATCCCCCTCAGCATTGCTCCCTCCTCCGTTAACCTGGGGGAAGGGCCTGTTTCCTCTGGGTGACGGGAAGGCTGGCCTTTCCTGTTGTCCTAGGCACTGACCCCTTTGGTAGGCTGATTGGGCTATTCCCTGGAGTGTGTGTGAAATGGTAATTTCCCAGCTTCATCAGGCTCAGTTTCCTCCTTCTCTTTTTTAAACACCTAACTAGCCACCTGAGGTCCTAGTAGACTAACAGCTGCACAAATGTCAGAATCTAATTAGATAAAATAGTTTAAGAAATTTCTTGGAAACAACAATAAACGCACAGAAACCTGTTTTTTTAGGCTGTGTTAAAGGTCTCATGCCTCAGTGCCCATCAGCAGGCGAGTGAATAAAAAACTGTGGTACATCTATACCATGGAATACTACACGGTGATAAAAAAGAAAGATTAATCAATGAACTTGTGTGCATATATGCATAACCCGCGAACACAAAGGGGTGGTGAGGGCCTTGGGGGGGATGGGGGCAGGAGCATTATGCTAAGCAACACAAGCCAGTCAGAGAACGATAAATATCACAGGATCTCACTCAGATGTGGAATCGAACGAATCGAATAAATGGATGACCAAAAATAGGCCCAGAGTCATAGAATGAACGAAGACCCGCCTGATCAATAATAGACCCAGAGACCTAGAAGCATGAACAGACCGGTGAACCTCAGAGGGAAGGCAGGAGAAGGTGGGTGGGAAGAGATCAATCAATGAACTTGTGTGCATATATGCATAACCCGCGAACACAAAGGGGTGGTGAGGGCCTTGGGGGGGATGGGGGCAGCTGGAAGAGGTTAATGGGGAAAAAGGAGGACCCATGTAATACTTTCAACAATAAAGATTAAAAGGAAAAAAAAAGACTTCACAACAAGAGATGTAAAGCCTGAAGAGACCACCTGTTCAGAACATTGCTTACAGAAATATTTAAAAGTGATGTGAGGGTTCAGGATGTCATATTCAGCAGAATGAAGCTCTGGCCGCCGAAGCGGGCCCCCCGGCCAACAGCGACAGAGCAGCCCTATGGCTGGACTTTGCATGAGAGATTGCCAGTGGCTGTTGCGCTGGAAAGGGGACCCATATGGCAGAATCCCCTGGAAGCGGTGGCCACCATGGCGCCCATCTGTCATGACTATTTGGTAAGTGAAAGCCAGTGAGAAGCAACATTGGTGTTTACCAGGAATAATCATAATAGAAGGTTCAATGAAAATAGTGAAATGCCACATTTGTTGAGGCCTTGAGACTCAATAGCTTAATCATTTTTAGAATAATAGACAATTGTTTCTTCAACTGTGACTGTTAATTTTAAAACCAAATATGTGTTCAATCATGTATGAGGTAGAAAAAATTGTATTACTAAAAATAAAATAAATCAAGTGTTACTGAGCAGTTGTTTATGCTATATAATACCAACGTATTCTTACTGGACCTTGGGTATGTTGAAATATTTTTCATTCAAAACCGTCCTCCAAATATTACTGTTCATTCATATTGTGACAGGGCCGGGGAGGGTCCCATCTCCCTCAGCTGTTCATGGAAGTGTGGTGCTGCTGAAATAAGCATTCCAGAGGCCCTCGTGAGACGGTGAAATGGAGTAAAGAGGTTTGTTTTCATGGCATGAACTGCTGGATTTTCATAGTCCCATTTTCCATGGTCCAGTCATAGAAAAAGTGTAGCTGGGGTTTTAGGAACACTAAAACCAGAGCCAGTGTCCAGTTTCCTTTCTGCATTTCCATCGTCCAGTGTCACACCATGGAGCTGCAGTCCATTAACCTGCTGTATGTGGGGTTTGCATGGCCGGGGGTCACAACAAATAGAAGAAAGCCAGAGCGAGCCAGCAGCACTCAAGCAGCAAGAGTCCTGAAAGTGCCAAGAGAGCGAACCCTTCATTTAGGGCAGTGGCTCTCAACCTTCCTAACGCCGCGACCCTTCAATACAGTTCCTCATGTTGTGGTGACCCCCAACCATAAAATTATTTCCGTTGCTACTTCATAACTGTAATTTTGCTACTGTTATGAATCGTCATGTAAATATCTGATATGCAGGGTGTATTTTCATTGTTATAAATTGAACATAATTAAAGCATAGTGATTAATCACAAGAACAATATGTAATTATATATGTGTTTTCCAATGATCTTAGGTGACCCTTGCGAAAGGGTCATTCGACCCCCAAAGGGGTCGCGACCCACAGGTTGAGAACTGCTGGTTTAGGGGATTATATGTTCCTAAGAGTTCGCATGCCTTCCTTCAGTGGCCACGTCCATTCTGGCGAATGATTTCTGTCCCTGGTGTGATTGACAGGCAACTTCCCTATTTTCCCTAACTTTAGTGGTTGGACCCCTTGGGGGTGCAAAGTTGCAGCTTCAAGGTGAAGCTGCGGAGATGACATGCCTATAGAGTCTGGCCTCCCCCTTGTTCCTTTTCTATTAATAATAACTAGTTGATTACAGTAGTATCAATGTCTGCCTCAAGTTGCTGGTAAATACACAACATAGTTACTTGCTTAACAACAAAAACAACCAACCCAGGCCATGACTACCCAGCAAATATTGCAGAAAAAAACATGTTATCTCCAAACAAAGAGATCTGTGCTTGATACTAACCAAGGCAAATATATTGGCCAGGCATCCTGGTGGTCCAAACATCTCGGAGAAGGGCAAGGCCGCCACCAGCCTCCTCCCCACCGCCGGGGGCTCTGAGTCCTGACCCTCTGCCAGGCTGACCATTGCCCTTGAGCCCCGCTCCTGGCTGACTGAGGGCTGGTCCCGGGGCATGGGCTCTGCAATGGGCAGCATTGCTCTCTGAGCAGTGGTCCAATATGAGGTCCTGAGGGAGGACAATTCAACACTTTAATCAGTCTCCAGGCAGCTCGCTAGCGGCCGCATTCTTATTTTATAAGAAACTAGTTATGGATTAAGTAGCACTTGTCATGCTCTGAAACATTCTTGTGTCTTTCAGGCATGACTATGTCCTTGTTAGGACAGTGGGGCTTCTCATATTTTGCTCCTTCTCCAGTCTCTCTGTCTCTCTCTGTCTCTCTGTCTCTCTCTGTCTCTCTCTCTCTCCCTCTCATTTTGTCCTGCCAATGTCAGCACCTTTGCACACATTCCTCTGTCCCTTCATGCACAGCTGACCTGAAATGACCCTTGGCTTGGCACAGGACGTGATTCAACTGATAATGAAAGAATTGGTGTTGGGGAGGGGTGGGGAGGGGAGGGGCTGGCACACTGGTTGAGGAGGGGGTAGGAGTGGAGGGGAGGAGGGGGCTTGTCAATTAAAGACAAATGCGGATGCTTATTTCACTGTGCCTAGTGGGCTGCCATTAGTTTTCCCCATATCACCTAGGACGCAAAGAGATTTTCAAAGGCGCGCCACTCTGTGCTTAACTGGAGACCCTCTGGTTTGGAGGAGGCGGGGAGGAAGCCATCGGGGAAGTGGGCAGGGGGAGGCTCGCCTCCCAGGGAGGCGCGCTTTTGGGAGGTGGGTCGGCACCCCTGCAGCTCTCTCTCTGCCCCGCGAAGCTCCCCCAAAGCCGCCTCCCGCTGGGGTGGCCGCAGTTCTCTTCCATTTGGTCTCTCCTCCCTGAGGGGCGCGCTTTTTCCAGGGGCTTGGATCTCAGCCAGCTTGAGGGGTTGCCATGGCAGCAGCTTTGAGCCTTGCACAGACAAGGCTCTTATTGTGGAGAGCCTCCTCCTGCAGGCCCTCCCCTTCAGACACCTCCCAGAAGTGGCATCATTTCGGTGTGTGCATGTGTGCGTGTGCGTGTGTATGTGTATGTGTGCGTGTGTGCATGTTTGTGTGCGTGTGTGTGTGTGTGCGTGTGCGTGTGCGTGTGTGCGTGCACACGCCCGCGTATGTGCCCATGAATGTATCAGGGACACCATTTGGAGAGACAAAGACGGGTTTACTCCGGTGGTTTGTGGATATTTGTAACCACGCTCGGCTAGTGAGATAGGAAAAGAGAAAAATGGCCTTAGGAAGCCGCCAGGGACCTGAGGTCGAGAACTTGCCCCAAGCTTGTGAAATGGTAGAACGTGTACAGGTGCCCTGCCCCATTTCAGGCCTCTTGTGGGTGAAAGGACAGAGTAATGGAAGCAAAGGTGCGGGCATGGGCAACCTAAGAGAGAGGGGAGCCCTGAGTGGGAGTGTGCAAGGCTTGCACTCTGCAACCCTTTCTTCTCTCTTGCAAAAGGAAACTTAGGCATGAGGTGCCCGCAGCTCAGACAGACCAGACACTCCTCCTCTGGATCTGGGAAGAATTCCTCTTCCAAAAGTGCCTCAGGGCACTCCTGGGCAGGTGGCTCAGTTGGTTAGAGCGTCCTTCTGATACATCACATTTGCAAGTGCGATCCCAGTCGGCACATTCAGGAATCAACCAATGAATGCATCAATAAGTGGAGCAACAAATCTCTCTCTCTCCCTTCCTCTTTCTAAAAAAATCAATAGACTAAGCCCTGGCCGGTGTTGCTCAGTGGTTAGAGTGTCCGGCTGAGCACCAAAGGGTCATGGGTTCGGTTCCTGATCAAGGGCACGCACCTGAGTTGCAGGGTCAATCCCTGGCCCCTGTTTGGGTGCATATGGGAGGCACCTGATCGATGTGCCTCTCTCACATTGATGTTTCTCTCTTTCTCTCCCTCCCTTCCTCCCTCCCTTCCACCCTTTCTAAAACTCAATGGAAAAAATATCCTTGGGCGAAAATTAAAAACAAAAAACAACATCAATGGATTGTAAAAATGCCTCAGGTGAAGTTTCTACGAAAGGCAAGGCGTTTGCCCTACAGTTTCATATGCTCTGGCTTTCCTTGGAGAGCATTAATTCGTTAATTTATCACAGACACCTCTGTGTTAAGTACTATAGTTACAAAATAAACAAACACCCCCCCTCCCACACAGCCTAGCCCACTCCCCCAGAACCTGACACACAGACATGGAGAGAAAAGGCAAACACAGAAGAGAGGCCACTCTCAGGTCCTGGCAGCCCCTGTACAGCCACCAGTGTGACCTGCATTCGCTCTTCATCAAAGGAGAGAGCTTCTGTGAAATGCCCATGGGATGCCTTTCCTTCTTTCCACCAATCAATATCCCTCTCCTAGTCTTCAAAAGTGCCTTCGTCTATGAAAGGAATTCCCACTGTAGATGAAAAAAAAAAAGGCCACAGTGTCCCAATTATGCCCCCAATTAATTAATTATCTGTCTAGACTTAGTGGGGCAAAAGCAGGTGACCAGGAGTCAGCAACAACGGCCTATCCCCTGGCACTTCAATGTCTAGACAGCTGAGCCAAACCGGAACACATGAACACACAAGACAGAATTAGTGTGCAGTCACACAGGGTTTATTTACCTATTCCTAGTGGGTGCTGGGCTCCAGCAAAGGCCACCCAGCAATGCACACCGAAAGACGGATGAGGAAGACGGAGACAGACAGGTGGCCGCAGCTGGTTCAGGCTCGCACAGCAGAGCAGTCAATCAGGGGCTTGTCTCACAGAGCGACATGGAGTCCTCCTCTCATCAAGCAGGAGATGTCCACTGAAGAAAATCTGATGCTTATATAGCTGGCGGTAAACAACTTGTGTCTTATTAGTGTGGGCCAGACGGTGTGCCTTATGCTAGGAGCGGGGTGTTTATACCTTAAGGGCTTAGGGCATTCACATCAAGATAGTGGGTGGCCCTGACTGGTTTGGCTCAGTCCACTCTACCACTTTTCTTGGACTGAAGGGTCCCAGGCTCGATTCCGGTCAAAGGCATGTTCAATTCCGGTCAAGGTCATGTACTGTGGTTGCGGGCACATCCCCAGTAGGGGGTGTGCA